ACAAGCTCCGCCAAAGGTGTTCTCATGCAATTTTAATTGCAAAGCAAGTGACTAATCTGTCCCAATTTAAAAATTTAGATACAACGTACACTGCTGTTACACTCATGAGGGACATCGTAGAGAAGAAGCAAGAGTTTATCTCCGGTTATTTTACCGTGAGCGAACTACAGTAGAATCCGCCCGATTTTTCGAACCTTCAAGGGGAATTAAAATTTGTTCAAAAAAATGGAAAGTTAAAAAAATCCATCCTACTCGGAGCCTATTGTTGAGCAGATGGGAAAAATACCTTCTAGCCTGCAGTGCAGGCGTATTTTGGGTGGGTGAAACCTTGTTCGTGTTCGTAATATTGTTGTAGCCGCCATCTTTGATTTTATGACAGTGGAAGATTGGGGAGAGTAGAAATAGTAACCCTTTGACTCGCCCCATCTCCTCCTCTCTTCGGGAAGTTTCAACATGGCACTTTTGCGAGCAAATTGCGCGCTCAAAGAAAACGCCTGCACTGCAGGCTAACACCTTTCCAAAACCATTCTTTTCAAAGTGAAATATAAAATGAGAAGGCTCTCGTATTACCTAGTTCTTAGAAATCAAGGCCAGGGATCAATAAACATTTTTTCATGACGCATCATGCTTAAATTTGCCGGATGGTATAAGACAAGAAATAGACCTTGCCAACCTTGCCCTGGCTATTTAGTCTGACATGTTGTAATGCCTTTTGCGGTTTGTTTTCTTAATTTCAGTTTCTCTATAGCAATATCGATGCTTTAAAGAGATAAACACTGTTAAAAAAACGCAAACCATTGATTTCTACTGTAGCTAATTTTATTCGTTGCTGTTTTACATCCGGGGGGGGGTACTGCCATATATGGGCTATATAAGTATGTGCCGCTGTGAAGGGTATGGTTTTCAAGCAGTTTACTCTAGGATAGGGTATATATATCAGAGCGTTTGGGTCTAGAATAGGGTATTCATTTTTCAGGAAACTGATCAGTTGGTTGAAAATTTTATCTAGACTAGGGAAACAGCTACTCTAGGATAGGGGGGATTTGGATAGTTTACTCTAGTATAGGGTAGCAAAGTTTAGCTGAACTAGCTCTGGTATAGGTTAAGGGTTCCAGGGTCCCAGTGGCACATCCCCACCCAGAAATTCCCAAAGTACCCCCCCCCCCCGGGGTTTTACATGCGTCTCTTATTGATACTGCTGGTTAAATTTCAAGCCGTCTTTATTCACGACATAACCTGAGCCAGTTACGTTTCCATTATTAATATTCTCTTTGATCTAGTTACTGATGTGTTCCCACTTGGTTTCGTTTTCATTATTTACTTCCGTTTTTGATAGTTTCCATACCACACAAAGCCGAGCGCCGTTTTTTATGAAGGCTGTGCGGGGCAGAAGCCCGGGGGGGGGGGGTTACTGCCATATATGGGCTATATAGAAATGTGCCGCTGTGAAGGGTATGGTTTTCAAGCAGTTTACTCTAGAATAGGGGTATATAAATCAGAGCATTTGGGTCTAGAATAGGGTATCATTTTCAGGAAACTGATCAGTTGGTTGAAGATTTTATCTAGACTAGGGAAACAGCTACTCTAGGATAGGGAGGATTTGGGGAGTTTACTCTAGTATAGGGTAGCAAAATTTAGCTGAACTAGCTCTGGTATAGGTTAAGGGTTCCAGGGTTCCAGCGACACATCCCCACCCAGAAATTCCTAAAGTACCCCCCCGCCCCCGCCGGGGCAGAAGATATTGGTCGGCACCGGTTAAAGACCACTTATGACGATCGTTTTTCGACGATTCAAAGCTGTAATCCAGTGGCGGATCTAGGGGAGGGGCCCGGGAACCCACACAACGCCCCCCTTCCTTCTTTGTATGCAAAACTGAAGCCCGAAGGGCCGAAAAATTTTGGGGGGGGACCGGGCAACCTTCCTTATCTCAGGGTCTGGATGACCGAATCGCCCTCCCCCCCCTCCCCCCATCTGAATGTCTGGATCCGCCACTGTCAGTAGTCTCCGTAGTCGTGTCGATGATAATTTTTCAAACTATTTTTTCTGACATTAGCTTGCTTCAGACCGAACAAACTTGTTATTTAATAGAAACGTTAGGAAAATCTTCCACTTATTCCCTTCTCGAAGGGGAAAATCCCTTTCCTATTGGGTCAGATTACATATCTATAGGCGTTATTTACTTTAGCTCCAAGGAGGAGAGACGAGATCACTCTATCTCAATGACCTTAATAAAAGGAAAAACCCCTGTCTATCCGGTTAGCTATCATGACAGGGGTTTCTTAACTCAGTTTACTATAAAGAAACACAGGTGAGTTACAGTCGACGCTTTTCAGGCAAATTGAGGCCTAATACATGAAGGTGTTTATGATCCCTGACGGGGATTTCTAAGAAACATAATTTCCTCGTTTTTGCACTGAATGGTTCTCGACCGTAATTTTTCCCTTCTAATGAAGGCATCTTCTCACTTGACAACCAAAAGAAAAGAAATTTTTAAGATCTGGAAAGTTTTTTCTGGTTTGGGCAAGGTCATGCCCGGCCTGTTTGCTTATCTTTCCATTGCCTGCTCTGGCCTTGCTTTAATTCTTCTTTATTTGGCAAGACTTTGAGATTTCTGAATTGTTAACATAGCGGGCGTTCTGAAAATTCGTCACTAATATACAAATACAGGAACCCACATGGGCTCCTGGAAAATACTATTATTTAATTCAGAGGTCTTAAAGCTGAATCAGAAAAAATTCTGTCAGTACAGTTCTGAAGCTAAGGAAAGCAGTTGAGCAACGTTTTTGTGGCAGCTTATTATGATTATTGAGGCCATCGTTGTCGTCGTTGTGGTCTTTAAAGGTTTCGCTCTGTCGGACCGTTGGTAGAAAAAAAAACGAAACAAAACTTGTTTAGTTACTTCGAAGCCCGGCATAACATAGGGAGGTATAAACCAAATCTTCGACTATACCAAAAAAGCTCTACAAGTCGTATGAGATCGTGTGAGGTTCATTCAAAAAATTCGACTGAAATTCCCACACGCTTTTATTAACTCAGTACATTTCTGACTTCAGTTAGCTGGCAAAACAGCTTTCAGAACTTTAGTACAACATGCTCTAGTTATGCAAAAAATGTGAGTGCTATTTCGGTTTTATACCTGTGTTTTAGATATGAGATTACAATACCAGCATGTCGTCATAACCTAGTCTTCAGTATTATTTTGCCTAGTCCCTGTACGGCGTTTTCCCAGTCCCTCTAGGTCAATTCGTTTCAGTGACGTATCCGAGACGAACGGGCGGGGAACATTTTCACATTTTAGCATGGACCACGTGACCTGAAACGCTTTGGCCGCGAGGAAAAATGAGGCCTAGGGACTAGGCAAAGTAGTATTCTGAACGACCCTTGCGCGTCGACTGTTTTTCACAAAATCCCCAAATCCAATCGTTTGCCGTCTTTGGAATTAAATGAACATTTGCCTTCTTTTCTGTTTTTTCCTTTTGTTGTTGTTGCTGTTGTTGTTGCTGGTTGCATTTTACCAATTTTTTTTTATCGGTGAAATGAGAAGGTTTCCATTTATATACTCACTAGATAACAAATGTAGAAAATAAACCGAGAAGACAGACGAAAAACACTTTTTTCATTTTTATTTTTTTCCTAGTTGCGAACAGCTTGGTGGATTGCCTTCTGTAGACTGTAGACCACCCTGCCTCCAACATTATGAATGAGGCAAAAAAAAATAAACGGAGAGGCTATAGATAAATCAATCACTTTATAAGCAACGTAGTTCTGTATTTGTTGATCCTCGGATCTTTAGAAAACATTTTTTCTCGTGATATATTTTGGCAGAGAACAACTCAGTATAAAAAACATATTGAGTGTTTGGCTTAAAAAATTTAAGCTGCTAGAAAAAAAAAATAATAAGGCTTAAAGCATTTCTTTTCATTTACATCGAGAGTTCGATAAGTTTAAACATTTATTTATTTATTTATTTATTTATTATTTTCCCACAATAAAGATTACACAAGCATTACATTATACAAAGATGTGGCGAGGGGACCTCAGAAAACCACAAGGCTTGTACGAGGAGGCCCCCTCGTTACAATAATATTAAGCAATAGAACTATAACAACACACAACAACGGACAGTACAAGACGCATTATCGATATAGTAGAAAATCAAAAACTTTCGTTTTAAACGATTGCAATGTAAAAATCGAAGTGACTGAGTTTGGTAAAGAATTCCAAATTTTAGGGCCTTGGAACAAAATAGAAAATTGTTTGGTGTTAGTTCGGCAGGCATGAGAACGGAAATGCGAGGAACTTCTAGTATTATAATTATGAATATTGCTACTAGTAACAAAAAGGTTCGAAAAAAGCGGTGGCAGTAATTGATGATAATATGAAAACATAAATTGTGCAGTATAGAATGAATTAATGTTGTATATGTCCAAAATCTTTAAACGGAAAAATAATGGTTCAGAGTGCGCGCGAAAATCTGCATTTGTAATAATTCGTACTGCTCGCTTTTGTAGAAGAAAAATTCTATTAAGGTTTGTTACTTGAGGGACTCCACAGCTCAGAGTCAGCCTAATAGAACAAGTCTCTTTGTACTGGACAAACTGCACGCGATTTGACAAATAGCTTTTCAACCAGCTAAGTGCTAGCCCATGAATCCCATAATGCTCAAGCTTAGACAAGAGTATTTGATGGTCTAAAGTATCAAATGCTTTTGATAAGTCTAAGAATATGCCAACTGTATATTCGCTTCTGTCAATAGCAGTTGCAATTTTATTAATAAGATGAATTAAAGACAGCGCTGTAGAATATTTTTTACGAAATCCAAATTGGCAACAGTATAAGATATCTAAACGATCTAAAAAATTTGTAATACGATTGTGCATAACTCTTTCAAAGAATTTAGAAAAATTAGAAAGAAGCGAAATTGGACGGTAGTTAGTGAAATACTGGGAATCACCAGCTTTAAATACCGGAATCAGTTTAGCAATTTTCAGTTCATCAGGAAATACTCCTTTAATAAGAGACAAATTGATTACATTGGCCAAAGGCTGAGAAATGAGATCAAAGGTGCTTTTTATTATATCCATATGGGAAAATAGACTATCAACAAATTCTTGAGTAGGGGCATGATCGGAATAGTGAAACAGATCTATATTGTAGTCTCCACCCAGATAACAATATTTGTCATTTCTAGTTATTTTAGCAAGAATCTCATTAAATTTGTCCAAAAAGTCCCGAGTGTTGTAATTAGGCGGACGATAAACAGTACCAACTATAATATTTTTCCCATTGGGAATGTTAATTTCAACAAAAAGAGTTTCGATCACTTCAGGTTCAGAATAATTACAATCGCGGCATAATTTGTATTCTAAATCGTCAAGTAAATAAAGACCTGCTCCACCGGCGGACTTGCTATCGCGGTGGTTCGAAATAAATTTATATCCAGGTATTTCCACCTGGTCCGACGTAAGCTCAGTTAGCCAGGTTTCCGATACGCATATGGCAGAAAATGGATTTTGCAAATGACTAAGCAGGAATTTAAATTTATCTAAATGACCGATTAGGCTTCGTGTATTAATATGAAATACAGAGAAGCAAGGAGAATTTGAACTATTAGTTAGCTTAGCATTAATTTCATCCTCAGTATAATAATTACTAGGAGGAGGAGAAAAAGTAAACTGTTGATCTGGATCTAACTCATTAAAGAAAAACTGATTAGAGACAGACGAATTATCAATTGGGTTGTACAACATTGACATTGACATTTTTACCAACCAATTTTGAAATTAAAGGGACCTACAGCGAGCTCCAACCCGTCTTTGGCGACAACGGCGCCTCCAACGCCCGGGACAATGGCTCCAACGCCGTCGCGGCCAGCTCGTAGGGCGCCCTTCATCCCAACTCCCGCACGAACTTTGACTGGGCCCACTTGAACCTTTGCTAATGCGACATTAGCTCCGCCGTCCACTTTCAATCCTTTGTTTCCAATCCGAAAGTTGCCTTCTCCGCCAGGACCCGGCACTCCCACTCCAAAGGGACCAGCATGAACTTCTGCTTCCCTAAGACAACCTTCTCCACCAGCAAAGGCTTCATCGTTATTGCCTCCATTTCCCACGTACCCACAAGGTCCATCTGCTTGTGCGGAGAGACCCCTCTTAGTGACTGCTCTGGTACGACCAACACTTCCTCCGGAGTAGCCTCCTTCCGGCAAATCATCGTAGCGAGTTCCAACACGTCCTTCGGGGAAGCGAGCATATCCGGGTTTCCTGAATTCTTCAACTATATTATACTTGGTGTCTATTTCCATACTGTATCCTAGTTTATGTCCTTCGTCGTCCTTTCCTTCTTGCAAAGCATTTAGGTTGTTGTAGTTCCACATATTGCTGACTTTGACCAACGAAATACTGAAACACAATTGAAGGACACATTAGAGGAAAGTGCTAGGAGTTCCTCAATCAATGGAGCACACTGTTTCAATTGCTTAGAGCGACACGTTTAACACTGAAAAGAAAAAGAGCAGCTTGTGCTAATTAACCTACAATAGCCTGCGAACATCAGACGTATTTCTGGTCATCGTTTCTCTCCTCAGGGACTGTGCAATAATTATCAGGAGGGGGGCTGAAAAACTAGAGGGGGGGCATCACATAAAATTCCTGCCAAGATAGGGGGGGCTTAAAGCAAAATCACTCATTTGACGGAGGACGGGGCCTTAAGTTTTATTCGAAATGTAAATAATTCTCAATACAGGCATCATGATAGACTGTAACAAATATCAATACAAACAGCTGTTAAACGATTATTAAAAATATTCCATCAAAATGAAAAGCAAATTCACAACTGATAAATTTTAACCCGTCTTCTAATTAATTGAGCTGATCCTATGTAAAGCAAAATCATGAACTTGTTTTTCAGCTTCCCCCATAAAACAATGGGAATCAAACAGATCTCGTAGACAAGCTTTGTCTGTTTTGATATGAATAAAAGTAATGTTTCTTCATCGACTGAATCGATTTGCTGAATTCCATATATATCTGGCTCATAACAATCTTCATGTATCTGGAAGTAAAGCTGCGCTGGTAGCACGTGCTCTTGATTTCTCGCATACTGGAACATGAAACAATGAAAGAAATAGTGCCAATGACAGTGACACAGAACTCCTATTCAGTGATTCCGAATACGACTCTGATTCTCACACAAGTACTTCCGAAAACAACTCTGATTTGGATTCAGATGACTCCGAAACGGATGGCTTTGTTGAACATGCATATGAGGTATTATTTGTTCCAGACGACGACATCCAACAAGTAAGCATACGCTTACAGTAGCATGACAATATAAAAGGTATTTACTTAAAGGCATCTATGATCATGGTGGCGGTGAGGGGTGGGTGCGTGTGTGTGGGTGGTGGGAGGGGGGTGCGATGTTATATATAACATAACAGAGGGAGGTTAGAACTAATTTTTTTTGTTTTGGAGGGGGGTACTGTCTAAGTTTTTGCTAGATAACTCTAGTTTTTCAGCCCCCACCCCCACCCCTCCTTATAATTATTGCACAGTCCCTTATTTTCCGGAGGGAGAGAAGCGACGACCGGAAATACCTCTGCTGTTCGCAGGCTATCCTTAACTGCGCTATTTCTTAAAATACTCCTTGTTTACACAGACTTCTCCGAGGCTTTATATGTTCACACTACTAGCATCGGATAGTTTCGTGTCGACGAAAAGTGTATTTACCTATCCAATATGTGACTCTCCACTTTGGAGACTGGCGCGGCGCAGCTTCACTCTGTTACAGAAATTGCACCGAAATCATCGAAAGTTGGAATGCCGGGTTTACGAACTCTTGAAGTTTAGTGGTAAGACCAATGATCGACGTAAGTGTTCGCGAAGTACTCTAGAAGAGGCTAACGTAGACAAAAGGGTGGCAGGAAAGAAGGGCTCAACCAACAAATATCGATGCCGCCCTACCTCTGCAGGTGACAAATCAACTTCTACTCCTAAAAGTGAGACTCAGAGCACCAGCCAACCGCAAACTCGATTGTACAGCGCGATTTATCACAATGACAACCCGTTTGTTCTTCGCATTCTACCAAAAGAGGCGAAAATTTGCAAGGGTTGCAACAACCACTTCTGTCATAGGTAAAGAACCATCCTTGGAGACAAACTCCCCCCTTGCCCCCACCTGTTGTGTGCATGGGATCGGGAAACGAGTTGGGCCAATTACAGCAAATATACCCGTACGAATGATAAGCCTTTTCTATTCCATCCCACGTTAAAGGCCATTTGCAAATTACTGTAGTTAATGGTGGATCGGTGGCATAAAAGGCATTTCTCCAGGCTTCGCCCCGCCGGTCGCCTTCTCCCTTCTCCCCAATAGCTTAACTTTCCATTTTTTTTCGCTCCCTTTGTTTTAGAGCCTGCTCCGTCCCAGGCTATAACCTGATTCTGCCTCTGTCTCATCTGGGTATCACACAGTGTCATAGATACCCAATATGTCGTCATAAACAAGTATGTGTACCGAAAAGATGCATATTAAGATGAGATGTATCAAGTATCGCGAGACTAATAATACAGGACTTCCTATCTAGAAACGTTCAGTTAAACAGTTCGCGGGCTTAAAATAAAAACCGTGCGATGGATTGGTGGACCTTTGGAGGTGCGGACGCATCCGCTGCTTCCACCTGGTTTGGCTTGCGTCATGCAGGACTTAACATTGTAGTCCTTCAACCTACAGTAGTTTCCAGATTTGGGTGTTTCGTTTTCGAGTTTTGGGTGCTTCGTTTTCGATTTCTGGGTGCTTCGTTTTCGAGTGCTTCGTTTTGGAAACTACTTCAACAAAGCCGCACCTTGCCGGATGGACACCTTGATCTGCCATATTGATCCTCCAGCAAAGCATGATGGTCTACTCTGTCGGTTTTGTTTTGGTTTTGGCTTTTGGTTTTGGTTGTCGTTTTTTAATGTTTATAATTAGGTTTTGGTTTTGGTTTTCATTATATTATTTAAAAGCAAAAACAAAAACTGAAAAGTAAAACGAAATAGATCGGTAAAAATCAAAAGGTTAGAAAAACCGAAATCTCAACCGAAAAGCTAAATAGCGAAGTGAAAATCAAAAAGTTAAAAACAAAAATGGAAAAGTGAAAAAAAATTGTGATTTTACCGTTTGTAACTGTTTTTTTCGGTTTTTATTCGGTTTGTGTTGCCTTGTGCCGTTTGGCCCTCAATAAATGTACTCTTCTCTCGCAACTCGCCGCCCCTATTGCTACACTTTGAAAACGTTAAACTTTGTTGTGTTGGAGGAAAATCATCATTTATAGATTGAAATAATGTGGCTGGCTATTTGATACACAAGACAATTTTATCGTTATTAACAATGATTTCCTTGGGATCCTCGTGGAGACTTATGAAATGTAATACAGTTGCAGTTCATGCACGAAAATAGAAAAGCAATGGAAGGAACTCTGAACTCACTTTATCGACAAAAGATTCAGTTTATAATTAGATATTCTTTTGTGGCAGTCTAAAATAATCCAGGGATTAAAACAACGGGATGTTATTTTAAAAGTGCGCAAAATAACTTACCAAATGTTTCAGAATCAATTCTTTTTTGAGGTTAGCACCTTTTCAGTCTCACACCTCTTGAAGGTCTGCGATAGAATATGATAACAGACGATGACATATAGTTTTAGCTCTTCAGTGAGGCCGGGCCATTAAAAAGATGTTTTTAGTTTTAACAGGTGGTCGCGATGGGGATTGAATTTCGTTGGTTCAACACAGCAGGTTTTAGGTTGTGAGTCAGATTTTAACGTCTGCAGAGCGCGAAGTAAAGGATTCGCGCTGCTCAGCAATGTTTCAAAAATGCATTTGGATGTCCCGAAGTTGCTTTGGAATTAGTTCGAGATATCTTTGATTTATTCTTATTCTGACTAGACATATTGACTGCAAAAGTATTTTAGGGACTCGGAAAACACTGAAGCAACTTGGGATAGTAGCTTCAAAATACGAGCGAAAATCGAGATAAAAGAGCAATTTATTTCGCAGACGATTTTCTTATGTCGCGCGATATGTTTCTCCAAAGTGCGTTTCAGTTTAGCTTTTTACCATCGAAACCTTGCCTTTTCTCCCTGAAATTTAGGTTCGAATTCGTTTTACACCATGAAAGACCCAAATTTGTTGCTTTGCCGGTTAAATTCCTCGCTGATAGATCAAAGTTTCAGTTCTGTACTAAGGACCCGAAGTTTAATATAAATTATAGTATGCATTCGATATATTTCCCCAATTCTGATTGGCTAAAAGCACATGTTTAATTCACCATAACCAGTTACTGATGACCAAATATGAAAGAATTTTGTGTTTAGCGAGGAAATGACATCAAAAATGCAGCGTTCTTGAAGGTTAATGCACCGTTAACCGAGAAGACCTGGGGACGAGGATGAGTTGTTTTGGTTGTGAACCTGAAAAATGGCGGACATTTCACTCGTTTCAAGAAGTAAGAACTAGGCGAAAAAATAGCTAAAAACATGGCAAGAACAGCAAGAAGACAACTCGAAGGGCGACATCTGCTATTTGGAGAATATTTGCGGAGCTGAACAACCCTAAACGTGCACTATCGAAGATGAACTTAACATCGATGGATCGATGGAGGCAAGCATATTTTAAATAGCCATGTTTTTAAACTAGGAATTATTTTGAATGAATAATAAAACAACTATTGAATTTGGCTTTCGTATCATATGAAGAATTTTGGAGATCTCGGAGGGTGTTATCCGCCTCGGTCTTAACGACCTCGACGGATAACACCCTCCTCGATCTCCATAATTCTTCATAAGATACTCAGCCTAATTGTTAATTTTCACGCGAACTGTACTGCCGTGTTAGTGCTAAATATGCTTTTCGATACACTTTTAAAAATAATACCACACAATACGCAAAAAAGAAGAAGAAGAAAAGAAAGAACAAAGTAGAGACCTTCAAGACGATATTCGCGGTGGGTAACCCATCCAATTCCTAACCCGCCCGAAGGGGTTAACTTGATTGGTGCTACTAAAACTGAGTTTCTGGGTAGTACTTGGTGTAAGACTGCCCAAAATGCCCTTAGCCACCGCTAAGCACATGAGACTGTAGAACCTGTAGTGGCATTACAATAACTGTAGTAGCTATAGTTGTTGTAGTAAGTTAGTATCTGTAGTGGCTGTAGTAGCTTTAGAAGTTGTCTTACACCAATACTAACCGAGTTTCGGGAGGGTTATTGGGAGATACATATTTCTAGTATACGTATTTCTATGTTGCGATGTTGAACATGAATTATCCTCAGTGTAGAGTGCGTTGCTGGAGAAGCTGTGGAGTTAACTGTACATAA